CACACAAATAATCAATTTTCTATTCAAACCACAACTCGTAAGTGTATAAGAAGTTCAAAAAATAAATAAAAGAAAGAACAATGGAAAAATGGTTTGAGTAAGAATATAAGACTCACTGTAAAAGAAGAGAGAAAGAGGCAATTCAGATAGATATTATTAGACTAGCAGACAAAGGCGACTGACAATTTGTTCAGTAGTGGCAGACAAGCATCAAATGTTGAGAAAATGAGAGTTTATGTTATAATTTCTGAAATTTTAGACGCGATTTTCTTACGAAGTTTTATAGAATTATGATTTGAATTGTTGAAAATATATGCTTTTTTTCATTTCATATGATTTTCAAATAATTTTAGTTTAGTTTAGATATGGGGTAAGGACATGGATTGTGAACTTGTTAAATCATAGGTCAATAATGATTAACCTAATTTACTTCTATGATTATTTCAATAGACTGATTGTAATTTGTATTGGTAAATTGGTATTTTTTTTTTAAAGTGGAAACTACAAAATTTTTAAGTTAATAAAATTATTTTTTTAATAAAAAATTTAAAAACGATTCGATTCGATTTTGTGCGGTTTTTGAAAATCAAAACCTTGGTTCGATTTGAAGGAAAAGAAACCATGGATCCATGTGGACCAGAACCAACGATTTTAACTCAACGGTTTCGGTTCTATTTATAGTTTCGCAATTTTTTTGTGCAGCCCTATTCTACGTGCTCTAATATCATATCAAGCACTTAAACTAATAATTTAAACAAGTATGGTATAAATTTAATAATTTAAAATTTGTTTACCACTTTTATAGCTTACAAGATTAGCTGCTAGAAATTGATTATCAAATGAAAATCTAGGATAGAAAATTGATTATAACAAAACCAACACAGATCTCTAAGTTGTATAACTAAGTAGCCACAATTGTTCACATGATTTCTCTTAATTTTTAAGACTATAGAATCTCACGTCTTTAGTCTTGAATCAAGGTCATTTTTTTCCCTTCTAAATCACAACAACCATAAGCATTTATTTACTTGAGGTCAGCAAGCAGAAAGATTCAGGAATTTATTGCTAAATTATTTCAAATAAACCATTATAGATCTCGACAAATATTTGAATAAAAAGTTTTTTCTTACAATACTATTCTTGACTATTTAGAATGAAATTTATGTACGGACATCATTTAAGAGGAAGAAAAAAAAATTATATGACCTAGACTTGACACTTGCATAAATTTGACATTTGACATAGATTTAATCAACATGCCCACTTAACTAAGGGGAAAAAAGAAAATTTCGGTCGAGGAAGATTAGGCACACAGTTTTAGTAGAGATAGATTATCAGTTTTCCAACTACTTTCTCTGACTATTTCGACCATTTTTGTGAAGGATGGTGAAATATATTGTTCTCATGTAACCTCGATTCACTTTCAATTATTCAAAAAATCATGAAGGGAATAGCGAATATGATCCTCGACAAAATTCTTACCTTTTTAATAGTATTAATATCGTATTTCAAAAGAATAAATAAGAAGTAAATAGACAAATATGAAGGGAAATGATGATATTCAATACCATCCCTGCTTTCGAAAATTCTCAATTGGTTAGGGATGGGGAGGGTCTTGCCATCCTATTGTATAACCTTAACTTGTTGCATTGGCATATCTTTAAAATGAAATCAATGAAAATTGTTGTTATTGATAGATCAGATAACTTTCGTACATATTACATTTGATCTTGACCTAGCTAATGATCATCCCATGGTAACATATACATGAAATCATACTGATGACCTCCTGCGACATATGATTTATACAAATGGACATCTAGATTAAATGCGATTAAAAACGTATAATTTTACCCTTTTTTTTTTTTTACGTAAATTGTTCTAATATAATATACTAAACATTCTTTACAAGCACACCGATAAAAAATTCTTTTGAGAAAGTTACACTTAATAAGTAGTAAGAGTCGAGATTTCGAGATTTTGATATTATTTCACTTTGGGGATTGAGATTTCGATGAAGTCGAGTATACATTAACTTCTTGATACTATCTTTGAATATTAGTCATTGGTAAAATATTAACTCGACTGATTTTATAAAATTTATATATATTTTTTAAAATAAGTCGTGTTTTTAAACTAGGTTCAACAAAGACTCGTAAAAGGCGCATAAATATGTGTGAAGATTAAAAAATATTATTATTGACTGTTTGTTTAATCATTAATTAAACAAAAAAATTAAAATTTATTACTTTTCTAATAAGTGGATTAAAATTTTGATTAGTATTTTAATTGCATTTGACCCAGTTGTAACAGTCGAGAAAATAAAAGGTATGTGGGTTACATTAAAGTACTAGGTAAGAATTCAATAGTTAACCTACCCTTAGGACTGGTTTGTTGGAATTCTTCTGAGCTATTAAAGACAAAATTAGGTGGTTAAATTAAGTAAATATTAATATAATATGACATTAATTAAGAAATTAATAATAGGTCGATATTGGATCTTGTGTCATTACAGTTGTCTTTGAATTGGATAGGCTATGGCTAAATCTATTTTTGCCAATTCATAGACTATTTTCTATTCTAATACAATAATTTTAATGAAATAATACTATTTACTATTTTTTGCTTTTAAAATGTAAAAACTTGAGATAATATATAGTGATTAAGGAGATTACGTTTGGGAAAGTAGTGCTTATTCACTAATACTTATATGGAGAATTTCAATACTATTTAATCATTGATATTTGTTATCTAGCATAATATTGAATTCTGCGAAAACGAATCAACATCTTTTTGGAGAGTTTTATTGAAATAATGAATATATTGAGAGAATATTTTGAACTTTTTCTTTAAAAAAAATAAAAAATGAAAAAATAAAAAATTATTCCTTTGTCAATCAACGTTCCTTGATTGAAAATTTTCTTTTAGATTTAAAGGTAAAATTATATGTTATTTCTTTGCAACATTTTGATCAAATTTTGTGAAAAATGAGATGATTTTGAAAGAAATGAATGTATATAATGAATATTTTATAATTTAATTTATTAGGTTTTTGTGTGATAACTGGTTATATTAAAATATTTTTTTTCATGCTTTGAAAGATGGAAAAATATTTTTTTCGTAATTTTTATCTATTTATTTTTTTAAAATATGAAGAAAACATAAATTATTTTTGCACAATTTCAACGAACTTTTGGATATAAAACTATTATCAAATACAAAATGTAGTAACTAAAGAAAATTTTGAGGGATAAGAATGACATGAAAAATCATTAAGGACATAATTGCTATAATGAATAAAAATTAAGAACTCTAAATGCAATTAAAATGTGATGCAAGAAATAAAAATTGTGGTCTACATTTAAAAGAAAATTGACAATAGGGACAAAAGAATACAAGTAGGGTTCACACCATTTCGATCTGTATGAATTGATGGTGATTATGTAAGCACTATTTAATAATCCTTTCGTACCATTTATATGGGATTATTTTATTTTCACACATATTAAGAAATTTTATTAAAATTGTTGAAAAAACAATTTTTACAAAGAATTTTCCTAGCTTACAATTATTTAACTATCAACTAGCAGTAAATAATGGTGAGTAAATTATTTTTGGAATTGGTTGAGTGGGAGGAATTGATTATAATTAGGCAAATTAAATAAGAGTATATTAGTAAATGGATAAAACAAATATTTTCTCAATAAAAAGAAAGGATATAAATGGGACCAAAAAATAAAAAAGGAAAGTTAGTTTATATAAATGGGACGGAGGGAGTAAGCTTATTTGACATTTTTCAAATTAAATAAGGTATAGACCTTTGGCAATAATTTTATTTAAATGGAAAAAAAAAACCAACAAAAAGAGCCATTTTCTTGATATTTTTAAATAAATCAATTTCAATAATGCTCGTGATACAATAAATTTCAAAATAGTCTTTTATCATTTTAATGAAGGGTTTTTGTATTATTTTTAACTAGTATATTATCTTAATCATATATGAATTTATTTAAATATATTACAAACTAATGAGCTTCACACAATACATTCAAAATCGGAAATATTCAATTAACAAAATACATATACAAAATAAGAAGAATATACATATTCAATTATTTCTGTATTTTCATTTACGTTTCGATGGATCTAAATTCAATTTTCCTTCTAATGAAAATAACTAAATTTACTTTTTGCTCCTTATATATATAAAAAAAAATGCAAATTTACATCATATTTTACCAAAAATATAATTTACATTTCCTTTGTATCTCTCCATTGAAGAGATTTTCGACCAATTTAAAAATTTAAAATACAATTTAAATTTATTTTACTCCACGATTAAGATGCTCGTACACAACTAAGATTGTGGAACAGCGTTATATAAATATGACCATTCTTGTGTCAAGTACTATTTATCCGTACTTTAAAAAATAAATGAAAATAACAACGTAAATGGAAAAATAATTATTTTAATAATGCTTATGTGTTAGGAATGACGTCATAACGGGCCCAAAATAAATGGTCCAATATTTCAGCAATGCTGACAGGTTCCATTACGACTAGTCACGTGACACAACTGGACTAGGGCCTAACCATCCATGGCCCAATTAAATGGCCCACTTAACAATGAACGCGCCTTATTGTCATTGGCCGTATACATCACGTGCCAACCAGCGCGTCGGCCTAATATTTTAGGCTCCACTGACTTATAAAGCCACCCTGGTCAAAGCCAAAGTTTACCAATTCTCAACTATCATTTTCACTCCAAAACAAAAAAGCCACTCACACCACCAACTGGAGCGTTTCCAATTTTCCCTCCTCCACCACCACGACGCCGCCACCGCGGTCATTTTCCCGCCACCACCCCATTAGAGACAAGAAACAGTTTTTACTTACATTTGTACATAAAACTGTCATAATGCTTTGCAAATCACATGCCTAATTTTGGGGGCATCATTAACTCCACTCTATCCATATCCCAGATTTTCTTCTACATTTTTATGCAAAAAGATTGTTGAAAAACACAAACAACACACAGAGATATACATACATATATACATACAGAAAGATGGATAATTCTAAAGCTACATTTTCTCCTACTAGACTACTGTTGTGTGATGAAAGTGAGACAAGTTTATATGAAAAAGAAGTGGATTTGCTTAGTTCAATGGATGAGGAGTATATAAAGTCATTGCTTGATAGAGAAAGGCATGATTTTTCTCAAATTTCTTCAGGTGATTGGATTAAAGAAGCCCGTTTGGATGCAATCCAGTATATTCTCAATGTTAGTGCCTATAATTTATTTAACTGTGAAAATTTAGGCTTATTTTTTGAGATGAAATGGAATAAATTCTGGGCATTTTTTATGCAGAAAAGGGATTTGCTTGGATTCACATCCCAAACAGCTTATTTGTCTGTCATTTATCTCGATAGATTTCTTTCAAGAAGATCTATTGATGTAAGTTAAAGCCTTGTCTTCTAAGAATTTCCATTACTTCTTTGAATTTCTATTAGTTTTTCAATGTAATGTAGGAGGAAAAATACTGGGCTGTGAGATTACTTTCAATGGCTTGTCTTTCATTGGCTGCGAAAATGGAAGAATGCACGGTGCCGGCATTACCGGAATTTTGTGTTGAAGAGTACAGTTTCGAGAGTAGTGTGATACAGAGAATGGAACTTTTGGTGCTGAATACATTGGAGTGGAAAATGGGATCACTCACTCCTTTCGCTTTTACTCAGTTCTTTTTAACAAAGTTCTGTCAAAGTTCTCTTCAAAGAAATGCAATGTCGACCATTGTGGAAGTTATTTTGGGTTCATTAAAAGGTAGTTTATTATTCCAATTTCCTATACAGAGATTTGGATTAAATTTGTTACAATTTTGTTTAATAAATAGTTGTAAAATGACCAATGCAGATGTGGAAATAATGTGCTATAGATCTTCTGTTATAGCAGCATCAGCCACATTGGTGGCATTGGATCCAAGATTAACTAGAGATGCCTTGGAGCACAAAATCAGTCTCTTATCTTCAAGTGATGTCCTCAAAATTGTGAGAAAATTTATGGGATTTCGAATAATCTCACTTATTTTTCTTTAAAACTAGTGATTATGGTGTGTAATGATCGAATTGTTTTGGATTTCCTGGTGGCATTTGTTTCTGTTTCAGGAAGACGTCGTCTCTTGTTATTACCAGATTCTGGCATTCGATACAATGAAGTTAAACAGGGGCGATATTATGTCCCCTGATTTATCACCAAATCAATTGCAAATAGATGAAGTTTTGGGAAGTTCTTCGGTTACTACTGCGGCAAATGCTAAAAGAAAGAGGCTTATATTCAATCAAAACGACAATATATCTCCCAAGAAACGACAGAACTGAGAAGTTCAACTACCGGAATTAATCCGGTGGATGAAATGAGTAAGATAGAGAGGTTTTGATGTTGATTATTGGGTGTCAATTGAGCCACAAGAAAAAGGAATTAGAAAAGAAATGAAAAAAGTAGAAGTTTGTCAGAGCTATTTTTGGTCTAAAATCACAGCTCATAAGGTGTGGAAAGAAAGGCCTCAAGATATGACTTCATAGTTACCAACAACTATTACCATTCTTGTTTACATTGTCCAAAATTTCAATTTTTATTTTTATTTTTATTTTTATTTTTATTTTTTATTTTTATTTTTTGAAAGGGCTGATGGAATAGAATAGGGATTGAGGAAGCTTTATCTGTGATTTGATACATCTATGTTGCATGTAAAAGACTAATGTGATTGGATTTGTTTGAATGTTTGGGGCAAACCTTTTGGGGTGGGGTTCTGCTCCTTTCTTCTGTTGATGTTTTCCTTCTTCTGTGGGGTTATGAAAAGCCTAGACATTGTTTCTGGAAAGGCCTACACTTCCTATTAGTCGAGCTCAGATGTAACTCGAATAAAGCGTGTGCTAGTTTTTGTTAACATGCCCCTCCAGAATGCTTTTCACTGAATGGAATATCTTCTATGGAATCCCAATTGATCAATTTCTCCAAAACGACTTCATATTATTATAGCCAGATTATGGTCGACACACTTTAGTTGTATGCTTGTAAGTTAAAATCTTGTTCATTACATTGTGTATAAACGCATTACACGGGCGTCTAGCGGCTTGTCCACTTCTCCCATTATTGTCCATCCACTCCAGTAGTCAAAATGCAAAGCTGTCATGAAAAACTTCAGTACTTCTGTGGATGCCGGTACCCTTCTGATCTGCCAGCTTTGTTTTCCAAAGAAAATTGGTTTCTTGACTTTGAAAGCAACTGTGGGCTCCATATTAACTCTAGCCCTGACCAGTCCTTCCAAAAATAATGTTATTTGCAAATCATTTTGTACATAATAATATACAAATAGTTGAGAGAGAGAGCTATATGTACATAACAACTTACATAATGATTTATCAACAATTGATATAACAGCTATATGTACATAACAACTTATGTAATGATTTATCAACAATTGATATAACAAGATTTAATTCTCTCTTTCATATCATTTATCTGTATAATATTATGTACACAATAATATACAAATATCATTACTCATCCTTTATATATATTTGTTGTATGTACGTGAGTAGGTGGTGGGCGTAGGAGTGTATTTAAAGAACTTTTGGCCACACCTTGTACGTTGCACACAAAGTTGGAAGAATATGACTTAACAAAATTTTTGTTTCTTCATATTTTCGATATGGTCAAGTTCTACTAAATCCATGTTTGAGTCCTATTTTTTGAGACAACCTTACTACATGAACATGATTTTTGTTTCTTCATTAATTATTTTCGATATGGTCAAGTTCTACTATTCATTAATCAATTTCGATATGGTCAAGTTCTACCAAACCCATGTTTGAGTCCAATTTTTTGAGACAACCTTACTACGTGAACATGGTCAATTACAGGTTTTCTTTTAACAGACAGACACATGTCATTATTTCATTGGAAGGTTTGAAAAATTCCATACAGATGTTGCCAACAAATCACCTGTCAAAGTCCATGTTAATTAACCCTTCACAAGCAGCGTTATTTTTTTTGAGAATATATTTCGTATAAATTGACTTTGGAGAATATGTGACTAAAAAATCGGGAAAAAAAAAAGAATTTACATATAATATGGAGACTCTACGTTTGGAAATTAGATTAGGAAAATTGAATTTTAAAAATAGGTTAAATGAAAGATTGTACGTTTGAAAATTAGATTAGGAAAATTGAATTTTAAAAATAGGTTAAATGAAAGGTTTTTTATCGACTTGCTATTAGGAAAATTGAATTTTAAAAAAATAGGTTAAATGAAAGATTGTACGTTTGAAAATTACATTAGGAAAATTGAATTTGAAAAATAGGTTAAATGAAAGTTTTTTTATCGACTTGCTATTTTGACAAAGGAAAAAATTCATATTTGAGAAATTAAATATGAAACATTTTAATATTAAGAAACAATGTTTAAAACTTCAAAAATCAGATATTATTACTTATAAAATAATTAATTAAAAATTTATTTTATTAATTAAATATATTATGGTCACTATTCCATATAATTTGGTCACGGATTATCAAATTAATTGGTCACAAATTATTTTTCGATTATAAATAAAATTTTTTAAAAGTTTCAAATTATTTCATGGTCATAGATAAAAAATTTTATAGGTCACAATTTATTCATCGATCACAAATCACTGATTTTATAATGTCATGTTTCTCATCCTTTAACAAAATAAATTATTTGCTACAGTAACATTTTTCATTACACATTCACACAATAAAATATTTTACAAACAAACAAAATAAAATTTTTCAAAATTTTAATTACACATTCTCTAAAAATTATTATTCAAAACTCTATATTTTCTCCCAAAATGAAAGACAAAACAAGCTCTAAGTCACAACTTATTTCACAGTCATAAATTATCAAATTATTGATAACAAATTAACAAATTTTTATATCACATAATATTTATTGGTCACAAAGTTATCATTTCATTGGTCACATATAAACCAATTTATTGGTCACAATCAATGAAATAATTTGTGACTCTCATCTCACAATGCCTCCAATGACCACCACCTCACGACAATCAACAACAACACCGCCATCTTTATGTCAAAACAAACCGACACCCACCATCAAAAACCACAATCGTGACAACATCGCCCGAACCACTTGGTTGATTTAATAGAGCCTTCACCAACCCACAACCTCCATAGCCATCAACATCGTCGCCAACACAACCACAACCACCACCACAACTACATCAAATCCAAAATCAAAATCACCACCACCACATTCACCATAGATCCACAACAAAATAGCCGATTGTAGTGTCAGACCACCATCTTCCCCACAATCGCGACTCGATTTCTTTATTTCGCTACCTCCAAAACATATCACCCAAATTTCCCTTCACTGGCATCCTCCAATCAAGCCCATATCATCAATGCGAAGTTTGGATTTGCCTGTAAATAAAGGTTGAACCCCAACTTTGTGGGCTCCCACCGCCTTATCTCTAGAGCTTTGTGGGGGAAGTAAATTTCGGAATGTGCCCCAACAGGTTAGGGAGTGCCCCAACAGGTTAGGGAACAAGAGCTGCATGTACACTACGTCTACAAGGAGTCCAATTCCATGTTTCAGGAATCGAACCCCCACACTACGGCTGCCAGCAAGGCGTGAGATAATCTCACTCCTATCCTTTGCACCACTAGGCTATGCCCCAGGGGGTGGATTTGCCTGTAAATAGATAGATCTACTTGCAGCCGGAGAAGGAGGAGACTGTGGCGGTTCCAGAGAGGAAGATGACGTTGCTGTATAGTATCTCCTCTACCATCAATATTGCATTCCTCAACCATTTGCGTGGATGGTAATAGGTTCGAAGAGTAATAGTGATGGCAAAAAAATCCGTCCTCCCCAAATGGGTAAAAACTTAGCCCCGAACGAGTTGGTGGGACTTGGCACCCCATCCCGAGGCATGGGCAACGTAGGGCGAGGATGCCCCGCCCCGAACCAGTCCCGTGAAGGAAAAATGTATTAAAAATAATTTTATTTCTAAATAATTCACCCGTTAAAAATCTATTGTTAATTTGTATTCTATTATCTAATAATGACATAACTTGAAATTTTGAAAATGTAATTAAAAAAAATTAAAATTTTTTTAAAAATATATATAATAAAAAAAATTAAATGGAGCAACAAATAGGACAAATGGTTGCCCCCGCCCCTCCCCGTTTAAGGCGGGGCGAGGCGAGGTTTGGCGAGACAGGGTGGGGGCGCCCCCACTCCGAAATCGTCGCATTGCCATTCCTAAGAAGCAACGTTGGGGAGAGAGAGAGAATAGATAGAGATTGAGTGGTAATAAATTTAATTAGTAATATTTAATAAATAACTATAACCTAATTTATGAAATGATAAACTTAAAATTTGATTAATGAAATGTAAACTTTAAAAATAGGCTTAGATGTAATTTCCTCTTGGATAAAAGCTGGGCCCCCTGGCCCAAGACACCACAGAACCCTAGACTTGTTGGACAATTCTTAGCTCTTTATCGAAGCTCAACCCTAGCCTTGGCCACCCTATTCACCAATAATTTAACCCCACGACTACGAATCCTGTGAACATATTCCATTCTGAAGAAAAGTATTTTGGCAGAATTGAAGCTTTATTATTAATAAATTTGTGATTCAATAATAAATTGTTTGACTTTTCATTAACCATGTCTTGACTATTAATAACCCCTCAACAGAAGGCAAATCTCGCCAGGATAACTGAAACAAATTCAATCGTTAAAGTATCTTGAAGAGATTTTGTATTTTTTAAAAATATATTTAAGGATCGTTTGACATGATTTTTAAAAAATCAAAAGGAGGTTTTAAGATTCAAAATTTTTTGTATCCATTTGACTAATTTTAAGAGAGTACTTCTAGTTAAAATAAATTTTAAAGAAAGTTGATTCAATATGACTTCATCTAAAAACTTTTTCAGCATAGAAATTAGTTTTTAATAAAAAATTTAAGGTAGCTTCATCTAATAGCAATTGAACATTTTTTTTTTTTTTTTTTTTAATTTTTTTAATTTTTTTTAACACTTGTTTTATTACTCCAAGAAATTATTTCATGATTTTCGTTAGTTTCTCTCTAAATTATTATATTATTTTCCTTTATTAAAAAGTAAAATACTTCGAATGTAATTTAAAGAGTCAAATCCATTTCTATTTTAAATATTAAATTAAAAAAATTGAAACATAATTTTAAAATTTGACTTTTAAAATAGGGAGGATCTTATATTTAATGAGTCTATTGAAAATGCTCACATGTACTAAATCATATCACAGATAAAGGCAAAGTTCCCCTCAACCTTTTTAGAGACTTGAAAGGGAAAAGTATCCCAAGCAGCCCATTGAAAGTTGGGGTTGCAGTTGTAGGTCATGAAATCAAATATTTGGGTCTCTGTTTCCACTCCTGATGAGCTCCAAGTCTCTGATTTTGGGCCCAAATTAGCTTTTTTCTGACAAAACTTATGCTTTTCACTTCTTTTCCTCTTTCCCTCGCTTATGGCTTATCAAATATCCAATCAACTCCAAAAAATCATCCAAAGTAATTGGTGTTGTACAATTTCTTCACTGCTGTTGATCATTTTTGATTGAATATAAGGCTTGTTGTTTTGGATTCGAGTGATTTCTTTAATCAAATATGAACTTAACAGTTTTACCAAATTTGGATATAGTATCGGCAAGGAAATAAGTAATAATACGCTAAAGAAATGCCAACGAAAAAGGACAAAGTAATACCAAGTAAGATGGATATAAAGTCAAGGTAAGA